AATTGGAGGTGTATCGTTGTATATAACAGAGTTGGAAGGGATTTTGGAGGCCTTCTACTCCAACCCCCTGCTCAAACAGGAGACCCTCTACCATTCTGGACAAATGGCTGTTCCGATCTCTTCTTAAAGACCCCCAGGGATGGAGCACCCACAACTTCTAAAGGCAAGCCATTCTATTGGTCAGTAGTTCACACTGTCAGGAAATTTCTCCTTAATTCCAGGTTGCTTCTCTCCTTGATTAGTTTCCATAAAGAGAGACATAGAATCAAAATCACATGAAATATTAGTACCGCTTTATAAAGCCTTAGTGAGGCCACACTTGGAATACTGCATCCAGTTTTGGTCACCACATTACAAAAAAGCTGTTGAGACTTTGGAAACAGTGCAAAGAAGAGCAACTAAGAAGATTAAAGCCCTAGAGACAAAAACATACGAAGAATGGTTGCAGGATTTGGGTCTACTCTAGAGAAAAGAAGGACTAGAGGAGACATGATAGCAGTGTTCCAGTATTTGAGAGGTTGTCACAAAGAGGAGGGGGTCAATTATTCTCCAGATAGAGCACCTGAAGGCAAGACAAGAAGCAACGGATGGAAACTAATCAAAGAGAGAAACAACCTGGAGCTAAGGAGAAACTTCCTAAAGTGAGGACGATTAACTATCTGTTGCTTGGTGTCCTGCCTTCAGGTGCTTTGAAGAAGGTTGTGGCAGCCCCTCAAATATTGGAACACTGCTGTAAATTCTCAACATAAACATTACTAAATGAATGTTTAAAATTATAACAGCAGTGAAAAAAAAGACTTCTGGCCATTTTTCACTTAAAACCATTGTTGCATCCCCACGGTCACATGATCAAAATTTGGATGCTTGGCAACTGGTATGCATTTATGACGGTTGTATTATCCTGGGATCATGTGATCACCATCTAGAACCTTCCCAGCTGACTTCGGACAAGCAAAGTCAATGGGGAAAGCTGGATTCACTTAAGGAAGGCATGATTCACTTAACAACTGCAGAGATTCATTTAACAACAGTGGCAAAAAAGGTTGTAAAATGAGGCACAACTCACTTAACAGTTGCCTTGCTTAACATCAGAAATGTTGGGCTCAAGGCAGACATCAAAACTTGTCCCAGGCAGCCTCATGCTCACATAGTCATATTTTTGGTCCCATTCTTCCCTTTTTGACTCTTTTATATTAGTAGTGTTGAAGGAAAAGTCTTCATCATGGTTCAGTCCAAGGCGGAAATAAACAACAAGGCGACTGCTTTAGAAAGAAGGTTGCAGTTTAGTGAAGAGGAGAGCCAGACAGAGAGATGGCTCTGGAAGAAAAGAGAGAGAGCACATGTAGGGAGTGGGTTTTTATACCCTCTGGGGCTCTTGAGGTTGTTTCCTGTTCCTGTTTGAGGCTTTGTATTTCCTGTGTCACGTATTTTGACCTGAGTCTGAGTGTGCCCCTTTGGCATCTGTCGGTTAATCCTATTATGTCCTGTCTTAGAGTTCGGGTGGGGTATGTAGATTTTAGGTGTCTTTGTCTTCCTAAGCTTCTAGCTGGAGGGCTCCAACCTTCCTGAATGGATTATTACATCTGCATTTCTACAGAGCTGGTTTCTGCTTGGGGGGGGGAGACTTGGGGCTATTAAGAAAAACTGGGCATGCTTTTCTGCCTCTTTAAGATCCTTTGAGGAAATATAATATTCTGCTCTTTTAATATTTCCTTCTCGGGGGGGGGCTGATTTCCCATAGTAGATTTTAGGGTTATCGTAATTTTACTTTATGAAGAAAGGGAGAATGTGGTTTTCTGCAACAGGGAAACAGCAGGTGGCTCCCGAATTCAGTTCTTGTTGGTTGTTTCCATCATGATAAGATAAGATAAGATAAGATAACCTTTATTGTCATTTTTATACTATGGGCACAATGGCACACATCAAAAATGAAATTTAGTTGCCCTCTCTCAAAGTGAAACACATACATGAGGTTTCAAACTCAAAAATATCTGCCATTCCATAATCCTTGTCTAAAACTCACTGCCTAAATCAGAGGTGTCCAACCTTAGCAACTTTAAGACTTGTGGACCTCAACTCACAGAATTCTCTAGCCAGCTTTGCTTGGCTGGGGAATTCTGGGAGTTGAAGTCCACAAATCTTAATGTTGCCAAGGTTGGACATCCTTGGCCTAACCCAATATTGAATTTTCTCTTAAAACTTCTCTCTAACGAACCTAAGAATCAGCTCTCAAGTGGGACATTATTCTGGAACTCATGGCCAGCAGACCTTTATATAGGCCTATTAGCCACTCCCCTTCTCCCTGCACCAATCAGGAGGCAGTCTTGGCCACGCCCTCCACCCAAAATTTACTCCCTGCCCCATATAAGCTTCCTGGTGGGCATTATGAGTAGGCTGGGTGGGTGGATTCTCTGAAGGTTTTGGTTAGTCTTGGGACACCCAAATAGAGCCTAAAATATGTGAGAATTCTGATAATATGAAAATCATACTTGTGACTGGTCGCGTAGAGACTGTTTGACATTATGACAGACCCTCCCTCCCCAAAAAAGTACTTAAGACCCGACTCTAAAATTCCAATGGCTGGGCCCTCCTGCCCCTCAGTCATGTGACTGCATAACTGGAGCTTGGCCACCAGCCTGCATTAACAACGATTTGGGGTGTCCCACGATCACATTTTACAACGTTTTTGCTGAAAACAGGCATTTATTTCTGGTTTTCAACAAAAAAGGTCCACAGGGAACAATGGGTTTGTTTTACGGCCACGGGGTTCCTTTTATGGCCGCTGCAAAAAAGTTTTTTAAAAATAGGTCCAATCATATAGTGACCTGCTTTACAATCATCATGAGTTATAAGGACTAGGAGGGGACATGATTGTAGTGTTCCAATATCTAAGGGGCTGCCACAAAGAGGGAGTCAACTTATTTTTCAAAGCACCCAAAGGCAAGACAAGAAACAGTGATGGAAACTAAGGAGAGATGCAACCTGGAACTAAAGAGAAATTTCCTGATAGTGACAACAGTTAACCAGTGGAACAGCTTCTCTTCAGAAGTTGTGGGTGCTCCATCACGGGAGGTCTTTAAGAGGAGAGTGGACAGCCATTTGTCAGAAATGATATAGGGTCTCCTGCTTGAGCAGGGGGTTGGACTAGAAGACCTCCAAGATCCCTTCCAACTCTGTTATTCTATTATTCTGGCCAGGCTCTGTTACAGACATAAGTCAAGGACTACCTTGTAAATAAAATAACGTTTATTCATTGTTTTCTTTTTCTTTTCTTTAGTAGATGAAGGGAGGCTTATCAGTAAAATATCCCTTTAGCCAAATGGCTCTGGCAATTGATTGTTGCACAATTAATTGTTAACAATCGTAATCATAACATTCATTCTGAGCTTTTAAAAAGTCATTGTATAGATGCCTAGTAAGAGAAACTAGATCAAAAGAAAAACACAATTATTACACAATTCCAGCCAATGATATTAGTTCACAAGTTAATAATCAACCCGTAAAACCAATATTTTGAACTAAAACAAATCAAACATGTCTTCTTACTAGCTTTCAAGGTGCCTTGGGACTATGTAATGTGTTTGTTGTTATTGTTTTGTTGTTGTATCGTTAGGCTATCTTTGAGGACAATGAGAGCACAATTATGCAGTTCCATCTGCCACATTTTGTGAGGAGAAAAAAAGTAGCTCAACCCCGGCTCCGTTTTTCACAGACCTGGAATGGAGAGAACGTGATTTTTCTATGACCCATGGCAGAACTGGAATGAAGCATGATCCAATGTTTCTGTTGGCTGCACTCCTTTTACCCTCATCCCTTATGTGTGGGCAGTGGTGGGATTCAAATATGTGAACAACCGGTTCTCTGTGTGGATGCCACTTCCAGAAGTCCATTCTAGGCCTGGGCAACAAAAAATTAGCTACCGGTTCTGCCGAAGTGGTGGGAACCGGCTGAATCCCACCACTGTGTGTGGGGTTAAAGCTGTTTCTTTCCCTTCCCCACAAGAGGAAACAGGGATGTTCCAGCTGAAGTTTGGTTGCTAAAGAAGGAAACAGACCAGCAACTTCTGCGAAGCAGCCTTCAGCTCAAAGGAGAAGGTCCCATAAGGAGGCAATCAAGAAAGTCACACCAAGCAGGCAGCAGAGTATGGGACGTACTCCCTGTTGTGCTTCGTCCCAATGCCTGTCCTGCAACGGGGCCATGCTGGAGATGGCTCTCCCTTAACCTAGAGGAGCGGGGCTCTGGAGGGCCCATCTGAGATCTCAACCTTCCATAGAGCTTATGGAGATTCTCAGTCACCCAGGTCATAGTTATCCCAAAGTTGCTTTTTCACGAGGCAACTGGACTTCCTTGTTTTTCTTTTTCTTTGAAGACGTTTCGCTTCTCATCCAAGGAGCTTCTTGGACGGGAAGCGAAACGTGTTCAAAGAAAAACAAGGAAGTCCAGTTGCCTCGTGAAAAAAAGCACCTTTGGGATTCCATGGAGCTTCTTCGATGAGGTCCCTCAACTTCTCGCCTTGATTGGAAGCGCCTTTTCCCACAGATGCAAGAAGATCTTGCTGTGGGGTCCTCGCGGGTCCCTGGGCCTTCTCTCCACGAGCCTTCTTCCTCTCTCTTCCTCTCCCCCATTTTCACTCTCCCTCCCTCCTAACGCACTTTGTGAACTGCTGTCGCAATGCCGAAGTCCAAAGTTCAGTTACTCGCCTAAGCACACAGATAAATATGAACCTTGGAGAATTTGCATTGCTCCAATGTAAACAGAGAGGCGAGGGTCCCTTTATCAGGACTGGCTCAGGACAGTGGTGGGGGGCCTAAGGCAGCTTTTTTCTCTTTTTTTGGTCTTGGGGAAATTGGGGGGGGGTTGCCAAGAGAAGATCTGCGGCCATTTCTACTCTGCTGACGGCTGGATGGGTGACTTCGGAAGCACGATGTAGCCCCCAAAAGGAGCTCAGTGGCAAAAGGCATCGAACGTGCGGGTTCCAGACGAAGAGGACCGTCGGGACCATGGTCTCCAAACTGACCCATCTTCAGGTGGAGCTGCTGGGGGCCTTGCTGGAATCGGGGCTAAGCAAGGAGACCCTGATCAAGGCTCTGGCAGAGTCCGATCTGCACTGCAGTGAGAGCCATCAGCCTGGCAGAGCCCTCCAAATGGAGAAGGGGGAGCCTTGCGGTGAGATCCCGCATCTCCCCAATGGGATGGGGGAGTCCAGGATGTCAGAGGAGGAGATTTCGGACGATGGGGAAGACTTCACTCCTCCAATCATGAAGGAATTGGAAAACCTGAGTCCTGAAGAAGCCGCTCACCAGAAAGCCGTGGTGGAGAGATTATTACAGTAAGAGCCCCTCTGCCTTCTTCTCGCCCTTCTCTCTCCCTTCGCCCATGGCTCTGTCTTCTTCCTCCTCCACTCTGGGACCCCTTACCCCAATAGGATCCCTCTGAAGGAGGCATTGGCTGGGGATGATGGAAGGTGCAGTCCAAAGTGTACGGAGAGGGGCCAGGTGAGAGAAAGACGACCCCGGGTACTTTAGGGATCCCAACTAACCTAAACTTCAGAGCTTTATCCCAAGGCCGACAAGGAGATCCAACTTCTACCATTCCATGAAATCCCAAAAGAGGGTGGGGGGACCATGGACATTTCCAGCACATTTGGGAAAAAACCCTTTCTCGGTCAGAGCAGAAAAAACCTTCCACGTTCTGTATTTTTGGGGGGTGGGGTATTTCAAATTTTGCTCGGAGGGAACTGCGTGCAGGAACCCCATAGAGCCAAATGGGGAGCAAGCTGTTTATGAAGGTCGGGTGCTATGAAGAACTGTGTTGATGAAGTACTAACTGCAACCCCTGGCACAAGATGAAGCGAGTTGCACAAACACACAACTTCCAAATGGTGTTATTCTGCTCCTAACCAGCTTAAAAACGGGTAGTTGAATTGTCGGAGGGGGAATAATTCTATACGATGAATTCAAGTCTGTGTATGAAGACCCCCCCCCCCTAGCCTTAGGCAATGCGTTTTGGGGAACACATTTTGCTGCCTGACATTAGCACTGTGACTGCTCCCCCACAGTCACGACTCCTGACAGTTTTTATACAGGATGGAAGACACCCACCACCACCACCATCGATGCCTCTTCCTCAGTTAGGTTGCTTTCATTCTCCTGGATCTTAATGCAGGGGCTGTTTTCTGACTCTGTTTTATGCTGATTTTTTTATTCTTTTCTAAAAAGGGCTCCAGACGTTGGCTAAAGGGTGGGCCGTAGGTCTGTCTGGACAAAAAGTGAGGAGTCTCACGCTTATGCCATTCATGAAAGGCTCCACTGGAAAATGTGAAGCCCCCATGAGCCCATCCAGGTCTGTTGGGAACAGCCATCTCTTTCCACATGAGCGCAAATGCAGACGCCCCTCTTTCAGGAGGAAGGCAACAGAGAGATTGCGGGGGTCTAGAAGCTCTTCTGCCCTAGAGACTGAGGGAGCTGCCCTCCCTAGTAAAAGACAAGCATGCCCTAGAGGGATCCTTACCTGTGGGGCGAAGCAGACAGGCTTCTGGACTTCTTCCTTTTCCTCCTCTTCCTCTGTTGCAGCTAGGGAGACCTTCCCCACTCATCTCCCTTCGCTAATTCCCCTCCTGGGGTTCGGCTTCCATGCTACCTGCCCTTCAGATGACCCCTTCTTCTCGTCCCCCAACTCGCCCTGACTCTGCGTGGAGATCTAGGGTCAGCTTGGTTTCCAATGTTTCAGGACTGGACTGGTTACTAATTATCCAGTGGCTTTATTATTTCTCCTTTGTCTTATACATTTATAAACGAAAAGGCTCAGATAAGCCTTTTGATCATTAACTTCTGATGATTTATCAGGTGTCTCTTCTTAGAGGAAGGAGCAGAAGCCAGGGAACACCTGTCCTGCAAAGGGTCCTGGGAAACCTACAGAGCAGAAGGGGAGAGGAAAGGGAGCGGGGGTCTCTGGCTGGGGTCAGCGCTAGGCTAGATGTTAATATACAGAATACTTATTCTATTCTCATGAGCCAACCTATTTTAAAACATAACCTATAACTAACTTTTGAATTCCTCATATCGTACAACATTGATTACAGAAAGTCCTTGACTTACAACCACTTTCAAAGTTACAACGGCACTGAAAAAAGTGACTGATGATCATTTTTCACACTTACGACCATTGTGATCGGAATTCGGATGCTTGGCAACTGATTCATGCATTGTCTGGGGTCATGTGATCACCTTTTGCAACAAGCAAAGGCAGGTTCACTTAACAACCGTATTGCTTACTTAATCCCTGCAGTGATTCACTTAACAACTCTGGCAAGAAAGGTTGTAAAATGGGGCAAAACTCACTTAACAACTGTCTCACTTAGCAACAAAAATTTTGGGTTCCATTGTGGTCATAAGTCAAAAGAACTTAAGTACTTATGTACATATTTCCTTCATTCGTGTACCATAATATTATGTGCTTCTTTTATATATTTTTACTACTATTATCTGTATACTCTATGCCATATGATAGAATAGATAGACAGACAGACAGACAGACAGATATACAGTAGATATTGAGGATAGAGGTAAGATAGATAGATAGATAGATAGATAGACAGACAGACAGACAGACAGACAGACAGACAGACAGATAGATAGATAGAGGTAGATAATAGACATAGATAGATAGATAGATAGATAGATAGATAGATAGATAGATAGATAGATAGATAGATAGATAGATAGATAGATAGATAGACAGACAGACAGACAGACAGACAGACAGATAGGCAGATAGGCAGATAGGCAGATAGGCAGATAGACAGATAGAGGTAGATAATAGACATAGATAGATAGATAGATAGATAGATAGATAGATAGACAGATAGACAGACAGACAGACAGACAGACAGACAGACAGACAGACAGACAATCCTGAACTGGGTGCCCAATCTCTAAGGAGAACATTCCAGAAATATGCCCCAACTACAATATTGGCCCTCTGATCTGGCATTATTCCAGAATTCAGAACATCTCACATACATTTACAGAATTAACTCATCTAGGCTTTAGCTGGGTTATCCTGAAGCCATACAAGATGGCTCTGTGGATTTATTAGAAAACCATAGTGATTGACTTCATCGGGTTTCCCCATAATCAAGTCAGATCCATGATAAGTTGGGACACAGAGTGCAGCAGCCAACCTCAGGGACCTCCCTTCAAAGGTGGGACCAAGGGAAACCTGTCGGAGCCCATCATCTCCAACTGCTTTTGTTCTCTGCAGAGGTTCTCCATAACCTCCTCCAGGGCCATAGCAACCGTCTCTCTCCCTCCTTTTCAGAAAAACCTCCAGAATTATGACACTCCAGAAGTTCTGGATGGGCCACCTAGAATATAGGCCAGAAAGTGTCTGGAAACACCTTTTAAATCGTTTCTCAACCTTGGCAACCTTAAGTATATGGACTTTAACTCCCAGAATTCCCCAGCCAGCTATGCCATGTTTGAGAACCCCTGTTTTGTTAGGAGGCACACTATGCCTCTTTGTGAAACCGATGAGCCTTAAAAGGCGTCATATGGGGCTATCAGAAGCTAAGGGGGCTCTTTTCCTACAACCTCTTCAAGCCAGCCTGTGGTTCTTCTACTCTTGGGATTCTCCCTAGGGAGGGCATTTCCTTATCATAAACCATCTGGCCACTTAGTTACAGGAAAAAAACCACTTTTTCCTTCACATACATTCCTTTCTGGGATATCTGTTATAGTTTTCCCAGAATCCAAATCACGATTCATCGCCTGCGTTTTAGTCTTGGGTAGAGGATTGGGAGGAATTAGCCAAGAACATGAAACTGTAAATGAAGTCACATCTAATACTAAACCATGCTTTGCTACATCCAGGCTTGCTTAAAGAGCCACAATTACCTGGATGACTCCTCATGTTAAATGAGGGATAGACAGCTAGTGGCCTGAGCATCACATGTGAGCTCTTCAGCTAAGTTCTTCCACCCCAGAGCCCCTGAGGTTGGGCTGCTGAAATTCAGAAGAATCTGTTTTCGAAGGATCCTAGAGCTACAAGGGAGGTTAGTGGTCGTTTAGTCCAGGGTTCTCCAAGCTTGGCAACTTTAAGACATGTGGACTTCAATTCTCAGTAATCCCCAGCCAGCATGGCTGGCTGAGGAATTCTGGGAGCTGAAATCTACAAGTCTCAAAAGTTGCCAAGGTTGAAAACCCCTGATTTAATCCAACCCCTTGAAAACCTCCAATGAAGAGAAGACTTCTTCAATGCTCCATCAAGAGAGAAGCCCACTATTAGAAAATAGCTTTTCACATTTAACCTGAATCTATTTTTCCGAAGTTTCAGACTTGTGGGCAACAGAGAATAACACAAATTCGAAGACTGCTATCACATCTCCCATCAGCCGTCTCTTTTGCAGACCCTTTAACTATGTGAATGTAGCTTCCAGGGCAAGATCAAAGGAACCCACAATATGAATCAACTCCAAGACTCCACTGGTTAACTGCCTGTTCTGTAACCCACAAGGTGGGTCCACAGGGTACAGTCAGAAAAATCAAGATGGCAGCCGTAATGGAGTCACTGAATCTCTGCTGGTCTTTATATGCAACAGACCAAAAACAGTTTCTATCATGCTATCCAAGCCATCATTTTTGCTACTTTGACTACTCTGTATACCGCCAAATCCAGCCATTTTGACCCCAAGCCACCATTTTGCATTTGGCTCGTGCCCTAACCAATATTTTGCATCCACCTCTCCTAGAAATAATAGCAAGAACAACAGGGCCCTGGCGCAACACCCAAAGCATTAATAGACTTGATAGCCCTAATTTTGCAAAACACTATTCTATTTAGAGTAGCATACATTTTATGGCAATACACCGGTGGCTCTTAAGTCCTTGGTTAGGGTTAGGACCCCCCCCCCATTGATTAGATACTCATTTGGATGTTTAGAAAATCATAGAATAAAATAAATTCAGTCCTGCAAGGATGAATTTGACCTTTTCCACTCTCTTGTCAGGTGACTGGAAGTGTGGCAGGCCGGGAATCTGGTGCAAATCTAATCTGCTCTGATGAGTTAAAAATGGGCTTGTTAGTGTGCATTTAAGAGCCCCTTTTCAAAATTCTTGAGAGCAGCGGTGTCCAACCTTGGCAACTTGAAGACGTGTGGACTTCAACTCCCAGAATTCCCCAGTCAGCATGCTGGGAAGTTGAAATCCACAAGTCTACAAGTTGCCAAGGTTGGACACCCCTGTTTTAGAGCAGCTGATTGCACTGATTTTCATTAATTTACACATTTGTGCAGCTGGCTCTAGTAATAGTACTCTTTCTTGGTGCCTGTTCTCAGCCAAGGGAGTTTCTGTGTAAAACAGGGGTAGTCAACCTTGGCTCTTTTATGTCTCGTGGACTTCAACTCCCAGAATTCCTGACCCAGCTTAGCTGGCTCAGGAATTCTGGGAATTGAAGTCCACGAGTCATAAAAGAGCCAAGGTTGACTACCCCTGGTGTAAAAGAACTGAAAGAAAAAGTTTCCCTTGCTCCTCTCCTCTTCCCTGACCATCTCAAGGTGGCTTCATAAACCAATCCTACTATCTTTTCAGGACCGCAAATGACTTCTTCTTACAGGAAGATTTTTCCAGTTCTCTGGAAAATGGAAGTCTACATTCCCTGGTGCTTTTCTACCCAGGAACCAAATCTTAATTCTGTTGACCTTCTTTGGCTAGGAGGGTGGTTACAGCCACTTTGGGAGTGGGGGGGTGAGAGACCTTGAAATAACAGGCCTGGAGAGGGATGGAGGAGGAGCAGGAAAGACGCCACTGCAGTCAACGGAAGCTGCACCCCAAAAGTCTGGCCACCCTTTTGCCTCTGATCTGCCCTGTCTTGTTCCAGGGCCATTTTTGGACTACATCCAGGCCTTTTTACTGTCCTTCTGGGAACACATTGTGCTCTTTATCTTGTAAGGGAGGAGAGAGTAAACATGGACTCTTGATAATGGTGGAAGCACTTTGGACTTTGGCCTTAGGAAAAATACTGGTGACTGCAAAGGCGCAGAAGGTGAGGTGGCCCTTGCCCAGCTGAACAGAAACTCTTCCAGCCGAGAGAGAGAGAGAGAGAGAGAGAGAGAGAGAGAGAGAGAGAGAGAGAGAGAGAGAGAGAGAGAATCACTAAACTGGGGAGGAGGAGAAGAGGGTTCCTAGGGCTTCAAAAGGGCCCTATCCTTGATCCCAGGGGCTGCTGTAGCTGCCCACAAATCTTTGACTGATAGGCAGAGGGCAAGAGCCTGGGTTGAGCGTCAAACCCTTCACTGTGGAGGCTGCTACTTCCTGAAAGAAAATTCCAAGCAGGAGAAGACATTGGAAGGGTGGGCGGGAAGTGGAATTCCATTCCAAAACTAAGAAAACCCATCTAGGCCACTAGACGCACGTTCTGTGGAAGGAAAGTCGGGACCCTCGCCTTTTCTTCGCAGACATTTGGGCCTACGTCTGAAAATTGCAACATCTCTCGGTGCTGCCTCAGACAGCGCAGAATCCAGCCTAAGCCAGGAAGGGCCAAATCCATCCAGAAGAATAAAACGCATCACTGCGCACCAGTCTTACCTTTTTTTCCTGTCCGGCCCCACAAAGGCAAGAGAGAAGTGCGGTCCAGGGTCAAAGGACGGCAGGGATGGTAGCATCCTTGGCACGCGTGGCGATCCGGGCCCCCGCTCGGTCCTCTGCAAGGAGCCTCAGGGAGGCTTCCCAAGAATCCAAGGTCCTGGCTGACCTAGGCTAGACCAGGGCCGCCCAAGCACTGGCTTGGCTCAGCACTGGGGGAGGCACGCAGGGCTGGAGGACGGGGGTCATCTGGACGTGGAGGAGAATGGCAAAGAGGGAAGGAGATTTCAGCAGGAACGGTGTTGATGGGAGGAACATGGAGTCGTCCCCCCACCCCGAAAGTTGAATTCCCTGTTCTGAGGATCGGGCTTTCTCTTAATGCTAACAACTTGATATTTACTTTCCATTTAAATTTGAGATGCTGCTATAAATTATCAACCAGGCTCTTGTTCCCTTTGAGTTGATAACTAACTACCTGGGTTACTTATTGTTCAGGTAACAAAAGGGAGGTGAGGAAGCCCTTCAGGAATAACCTCAGGACTGGGCAAGAGAGGAACTTGAACCCCAGGGGTGATCCTCACATGGGGAAAAGCAGGATGGCCAAAGGCTGGAGGTCAGGAACCGAAGCCCATGGGCAGGAGGGGGTCCAGGGACCCGTCCTTAGCTGTCCCTCACAAGCCCTTCTGCAGGGAGAGGCCGCCAAAGCCTGCTCCTCCTGCCCCGGTGGGGAGGGGATTAGGGTGACCTTCTGAATGTCTAGGTTTCCTCATACTTTTCTAAGGACCACCTTGGCTCCCCAACTCTGCCCCACATCGGAAGGCCCTGACAGGGCATGGTCTGAGTGCTCCTTTCGGCCTCCCTTCAAGACATTGGTTGCTCCAGGAAATGGTTACCCCCAAGAACCCCACATTTCTGGTTCTACCAAAGGAACTGAGATCATTCTGGGGACAGATGGCCCAATTTTATGTGTTCCCTTTCCTTCACTCAACCCTATTTCCAATTTTCTTCAATTGCACAGTGGAATATTGGGCATTTTTCCCAGAGTAAAATAAGCCACTGTGGCCACCTTAAATTCATTTATCTCTTTATTTCTCATATGTACATGTATATGTATATCAGGGGTAGTCAACCTTGGCTCTTTTATGACTCGTGGACTTCAACTCCCAGAATTCCTGAGCCAGCTAAGCTGGCTCAGGAATTCTGGGAATTGAAGTCTACGAGTCATAAAAGAGCCAAGGTTGACTACCCCTGATGTATATGTTCACATAAATCTGAAATTATATAGTGTAAAATTAAGAAAAAAAGATGTAAAAGATAAAAGAATAAGTAGAAAATATAGTGAAGAAAAGGAAAGGAAAAAGACTTCCCATATTCTTTACACACAAATTGATCACATCTCTTCTCTCTTTAAAGTTACAACATGGCTCTCTTCCTCCCATATTCAACCCTTTTTAAACAGCAACACTATAAAATACCAATTCATTTTTTCCATTTTCAACAAAAAGGCCATCAGAGATATCCAGCCTTTTACAAAAGTTCTGGTTGTCTTATCCCTGATCAGAGGTCAATTTCACTATTTCTCAAATTCTGCCATGTTCATGATCCGTTGTACACTCTGTGCCAGAATAAACAACACAATCCAAAGAGACTGTAAATTCCCCATATGTGAAGCCTGTCAGGGGCTTTTAATTGCTACTGAGGAGATGAGTGCCTTTGTACCCCTCAAAATCCTCTTGAATCTTCATATTGTCATCTAAACCAGTCTTTCTCAACCTTACCAACTCTAAGATGGATGGACTTCATCTCTGCTGGCTGGGGAATTCTGGGAGTTGAAGTCCACCCATTTTAAAGTCGCTGAGGTTGAGAAACACTGATCTAAACATTGCTCAATGTCTAGGGAGATTCATCCAGGTCATGGTTGTCCCAAAGGTGCTTTGGGACTGATCCAAACACTTGATTTTTTCCCACAGCTTTGTTGTGTTGTTTGCAAATGCAACAACTATATTTTCTAATCTTTCCTCCAAGTCACTTATAAATATATTGAGTAGTAGAAAACCTAGAAAGGATCCCTGCCCCTCCCTGCTTTACTCGTGGCTCAAACCTACTGCTTAGTCATCGGATCCAGAGTTTTGGCCAGGAATCACGTTGAGCTGGATGGTGCTTTGCTCTGTTCTCCCCCCCCCTTTTCGAAAGTGGGACAGTTTTTTCCTTCTCTGAACCTCTGATGCTCCAGTCTTCCATGCTTCCTCAGATGCCACCAAAAGGTCCTCCAAGACAGCCCCCATGGGTCCTTTTATGCCTCTTGAATGATCTGATTTTGGAGCCCTGAGCCCATTTGCAGCAGTCGGGACACCACAACATCCCTTTACTGCCTTTTCTTTACCACTCCCTCCTTTTGTCCACCATCCTACTTTGAGCCCTTTGAATGCAATTCCCCTCCCCCCCCAGAGGAGAAGCCGGAAGCTACCTAGGAATTGTGCCCTCTCCCCATCCTGCCTTCCCCTCTTAGCAGCCGCCCACCCCTCCCTCCTGGTTTTACCACCAGCACTTTTATTGCTTTGGGCTTCCCTTGTGAGCTCTGCTCCTTTGGCCCTTCAGAGGCCCCGACTTCCTGCATTAGCTGCTGCCTGACAGGCTTCCTTGGGATTTACACCCGTCTCCTTCTCCCTTTGGCCCAAAGCTCCTTCCGCCTCTTGGGTGGGTTCCTGAGCTGCCTGCCGGTTTCTCCCTCATTGGTCGGCATCTTCGTTTTGAGAGGTTCTCTTGCTCTCCCTTTATCTGAGAAATTCTGTCCATGGGATCCTGCCTGGGATTTCTCTAAGCTTGGTTTTTTTTCCCCTCCTTAGTGTTTTTCCCACAAGGGCAGGGTCTGCCTTTTGTTTGTTTGTTTGCTTGACCAATCAAGTATTGATCCATTGGTTGAGTAAGGAAGAGGAGTGACTGGCTTGTCATCTGAGCCTGATGTCTTGGGCTAAGAGAGAGGGTCTGGCACAGAGTCACCCAACTGGCTAAGGCAGGACTGGGACGCACCCTCTCCCGGTGTCTAGCTGCGTCCTTGACTGCTAGCTATGGGTGGGCAACCAGAGCAACTCGACGCCCTGTGGACTTCAGCCCCCAGAACTCCTGAGCCAGCACGGCCAGTTGAAGTCCACAAGTCTTAAGGTTGCCAAGCTTGGAGACTCCTGACCTTGAGGAACAGGAGGAAGAGTTGTCAACAAGACAATGGTCAGAGAGAGGAAATCTGAGCCTGGGCCGGAACTGAAACCTGCAAAAGGTCTCAGACAAGACCCTCCTTGGGTCTCTTGAAGATAATGGGAGGGAGGATTGAATGAAAGAAGGGGCTTCAGACTTGCAGGATTCTGTTACTGTGACGTCAGAATAAAAGTAGTCTTAGCCTGCTTGATGCTGGCTTCCTAGTCTGGTCTAATTTGACATCACGGGGCTAAAACAGACTTGTGAGCATGCAGCTGGTGTCTTCACACATTCCAGGAATTAGAGAACCTAATGTTATCTCTAAGATTTACTCATTTGGCGGCAACACATTACGTGAATCCAACAATTCTGGATTGTTTATCCTTGTAAGCTGCTCAGAGTCACCAAGAGTGAGTTGGGTGGCCGTGTACATTGTCTTAAATTGTATCTCAAGATTCAGAGGGGGACAAGGACCCCTCTCTGAGGCAGCCGCTTTCGGTCTCTTCCAGGGAGGATCCCTGGAGGGTGGCAAAGATGGTGAAGTCCTACCTCCAGCAGCACAACATCCCTCAACGGGAGGTGGTGGACACCACGGGCTTGAACCAGTCCCACCTCTCCCAGCACCTCAACAAGGGCACCCCCATGAAGACCCAGAAGAGAGCCGCCCTGTACACCTGGTACGTTCGCAAGCAGCGAGAGGTGGCCCAGCGTAAGTACAGCAACCGGCAGCAGGTCTCTTCCCAAAGACCCCTCCGTGTAGACCAGGGGCCGGCTGGGACGCTGGGAGGTATCTCTGCTCCAAGATGCCCAGGTTGGGGGCATTCCTCCTCTGAGCAAAGTTTCCTAGCTCAGAGGTGGGAGACGGTGCCCTAGGCAGACCCCATCTGGGCAGGCCTTCCTCCTTCTGGGGCTGAGGGCTGCTGTGGGCAGAGGGTTGAGGCGGAAGGCTGGGTGGGCCTGGGGAGGCTCCTGCTTCAGGGTCATGAGATGCTCCGAGCCAGTTCTGAGGCTCAAGGGCTCTTTTGTCTTAGCTTCTCATTTCAGCAGGAAATGGCCAGACGTTAGCCACATCTGCTAATGGGTGGGGAGTGTATTATTATTGCCCCCTCCTGGATTGCAAGATGGGCAGAAAATGATTCTTGTGGAAATGCAGTAACATGCCATCCTCTGGGTCTGAAATCCTGATCCTTGCAAACTTTGGGGGGGGGGAATCTGCAAATGTCACTCCGGAAGTCTGTACCCCCCCCCCAAAAAAAAAGATGATGGGGTCAAGACAGAGGAATAGGCAGCAAACTCACCACACTTAGGTTTAATTTGATTGAATTAAATTGTACTTATACATGTAATTATTTTTTTAAAAAAGAGCTAATACGGGGTCTCCATAAGCATTTAATTACGTTCTCACCGCCATGTGCGTAAAATTGCCTAGCATCGCTCATACACCGCAAGATGATGGATTTTAGAGGTGGGATCTAAATCAGGGCTCCATCAGCTCCCATTATTCCCAATTTATTGTTGGGGTGGGGTGAAATTGTGAATTTTTAATAGTGAATAATTAATCGTGCACTGCCTGGAGCCTCTCTGTTGAGCTGGGCGGCTATAGAAATGTGCTTAATAAATAAATAAATAATGAATGAATGAATGAATTAGTCCCAGCCAGCAATAGCCTTTGGTCTTGGAGGGAACAGATGGGGGGGGGGGAAGGAGGCTGAGAATAGAAGCAACTGGAAAATAAGATCTCAGCTCTCCGGCTCAAGAAAACCGACAAAGGAGCCGCTTCGGCTGTCTTCTCTCTCAGCCACCCTTTGTGTTCCAGTCCTCCCCCATGGATCCCCTCCCAGGGTCTCTGAGGAGCCCAACCCTCTTTTTTGCCTTTCCAGAATTCACCCACGCTGGGCAGAGTCTCATGGGGGAGGACCCGATGGGAGAGGAGCTCCCGGCCAAGAAGGGCAGGAGGAACCGCTTCAAGTGGGGCCCGGCGTCACAGCAGATCCTCTTCCAAGCCTACGAGAGGCAGAAGAATCCGAGCAAGGAGGAGAGGGAGGCGCTGGTGGAGGAATGCAACAGGTACTGGGGAGACGGACACGGCCTCGCGCCTGTCCTGCGGCCGCCTGTCCCGGGAGAAGACCTTTGGATCCCTCTTGGGAGCCTCCCGTAGGCCACCACTGGAAAGGCCCTGCCAGCCAATGGCCTCTTGATCCAGCCCCACAAGATGGAGTCCTTCTCTTTGTGGTCAGCAAGTGAATTCCTCCTCCGTAGGCCAAGTCCAGCAGTCTAGATACAGCTGGGAGAGAGGGTTGAAATGTCATTAATTTCCCTCCGTCAAGCAAGACTATCTGCCCCACGAAAAGGGAACGAACGCTCCTTCGCCCTCCCGTCTCTCTTTTGTTCCAAATTCCAAATTTAAACAACCAACCAAACCTGAGCTTGAGGCAAAAAACGAAAAGGAGGACACTGAGAGATTCAGCACAATCATAGTTAGTTAGATTACAATTAGCACAGTGCAGAATAAATACACGAGAGCTTCCCTGGGCTATTCGTGGCAAAACCCTTCAAATTTATTTGTTTTTATTTGCTTTTTTTAATATCCTGTTTTTATTATTTTTACAAATAACTCAAGGTGATGAACACCTTCCTCTTCCAATTTTCCTCATGATAACCCCGTGAAGTGGATTGGACTGAGAGGGACTGGCCCAAAGTCACCCAGCTGGCCTTTATTCCTCAGGCAGGACTAGAACTCCCAGTCGCCTGGTGAATGGCTCAAAGTCACCCAGTCAGCTTTCATGGCTAAGGCAAGATTTGAATTCATGGTTTCCTACTTTCTAGCCTGGTGTCTTAACCGCTAGATCAAACTGGCTCTCTTCCTAATCTGGAGAAGCATTTCAATGACAATTTGTCTGTTCTGAAGACCCGAATCTTGCGAAATATGCTGGGCTCCTACCTGAGCATTTTGAGGTTCATCAGCACCTGTTCTGGTGCTCAATACTTACCTGCAATTGCATGTTGGGCTGAATAAACCATCTTTTGGGATGGTGGTCAGCATGGTGTATATTCTTTTTGAGGACTGGTTTGAATAGTTTGCCAAAGTGGTGCACCATATCTTTTGAACCTGGTTCACTTATCGGCTGAGCCATAAAACAGTCTGCTGGGTTTGGTTTAATGGGCTATGTAAATCCAGCAATTGCGGCTGATTACTCGTAATTTACGGTTTAGCACAAGTGAGGAACCTCTGTGGAAGGAAGCCAATTGTTATAGCCTGGGGTGTGCTTCGCGTGCTGTGAACTGTGATCCTTCTGCCTTGAGCACACCAAGGTTGCATGAGATACCAACCACGTTATCAGCTATCTTTCTCTAGAGACAACCACCGCAGATTCTTGGAGGTCA